ATTTTGAGGAAATAAACCCGATTATCTGAGTGTAGACTAGGTGCCAGTGCTGGCTGGGCCACACTGACCTGAGTGCATGCTAATCCTGAGACAAGGGAAAGCTATTTCTCCAAAGGGAGAGCTGTTTTAGAATGAGTGTGCTCTTTCCTAGGGATGTCCTAACAATTTTCCACAGACTCCGTGGCTTAAAAAAAATACGAATTTGTTGTCTCACTGTTCTGGAGGCCAGAAATTTGATAATAAGGCATTGGTGGGTTCGTGGGGCTATGCTTCCTCCAGATGCTTGAGGGGAGGGTCCTGCCTTGCTTCTCCAGCTTCTGGTGGCTTTTATTGCTGCCTAGCTTGCAGTACACCACTGTCATCACTGCCCGTGTCTTCATGTGGCCTTCCCAGCGTCTCTGTGTCTCAAACCTCCCTCCCTTTCATTTACAAAGATGCCAGTCATTGAATTCAGAGCTCACTTTCAATCAAGGATCATCTCATCTCAAGATCCTTAACTGTATCTATAAGACCCTGTTTTCAAGTAAGGTTACATGCACAAATAGTGACTTTGGGATTTGCATGTATTGTTCGGGGCCACTACTCATTGTGCAAAGATGGATTGTTGTGTGTTTACAACAGATTAAGAGTTCTAGCAGAAAGCTTCCACTATCTTCACTCTATCTTTCAGCTGGATGTTAGGCCACACAGATTTATAGCCAGAAAAAAAAATACATACATATATATAAGCAACTTCTCAGGATGTGCTTTGGAGGTTCACCAAATGCACAAGATTTATAGAAGAAATGTAAGGTCTTTGGAAAGAAATAAAATGAGCCCAGAGTAAAGAAACACTCATGAGTAAAGTTAATGGAAAAAAATAATCAGAAGGACAACTTAAAGTTTCACACTGATCGTAAGTGAAAAGAAAAGGGACAGGGAAATGCCATTGACAGTCCTGATCAAGTAGGGAATGAAAGGCTGAAGATGTAGAGTGAAAGGGGAGAAAGTTAGAGTCAAGGAACTATCAAGTCAAACAAAAATTTATAGACTTGGCTATAAAACCTTAGAAAAAGATCTTCAAGTTGCTTTAGGAGATAGTTCTCCTCCTTCTAGTTGTGTCTAGTGGAATGACTGACATGGCAGCTACTGCCTTGAGCAAAGACACATTTCTACCAGTTTCTGACCAACTAATCTTTAAACCCTGATTCTTGGGCTCACTACAAAATATTTTCCAAGCATGCACTATCTAGAAAATGGCATAGTCCAAAGTCTTTGGAAAAGCTAATAGATTTAGGCTCATTATTCAAGCATGATTAAACAACTCACAGATGACTGGCCACCAATTTAGGAGCTATCTTTGGATTGGCTGTTGATTCCTGGGCTATGCACCTGAGCCCAGAAGTTGAATTAGGTGGTCTCAAGGTGTGCTGATTTGTCTCTTTCAGGATCAGGGCTAGAATTAGTACAAAGATCTTACATATGCATCATGCAGATTAGTGAATGAAGTAGGGCCTACGCTATAAATTTGGAGGGGTATTTGGAAAAGTGTGTCTCTGTAGATTGGCTTGCAAAATATGAGCCATGGTGGGCAATGGGATGGTACAGGGAGGTAATAGGGTTTGGATGGGAGGGCAGTCAGGAGCTCTAGGGTGACCACACATTAGCCCCCTGAGTATGTCACAGCAAAACAGCTGCACTGGGCAATGACCACTCCAGCGACTTCATCAAATTTTTATGTTGTTCTCAAGAAATCAATTGGGTATTAAAAAAAGGAACTGGAATTATCCTTAATCATCTAAGCACTTGAGGAATTTTTTTTTTAACCTTAGTTCTTTAACTGGAAATCTGGCGCCATGAATGAGTTGTTGAATTAGCAAGTATGCCAACACTTTTGTTTATTAATTGGTATGTTCCATTTTAATTAAATTCATCCTAGCTAATTATTCATTTAACCATGTGCACTGCCAGCCAAATATGCTGGAGGACATGATTAAGGCAAAAATAAACTCTGTACTCCCTCTATTTTATTAACTTCACTGATTCCACACATGGCAATTTGAGGGGAAAATAAATTTAACCTTCCATTCTTGCTTCATTGTAGGTGAGTGCGTATAGGAGTAAACCACAGGCTCTGCGACTGATAGGTGCTGAGTATGGATGTCAGCTCTGCCATGTGTGGTCACAAATATTTTTAGAACATACATTTTTGAAAAGAAAAGAGGAGCTAAGTAGCTGCTTTCCTGCACTATCTACTACTGTTACTCAGATTTGGACTTCAGCCTGGCTGATGTCTGTGAACAGTATCTACCTTCTGGTCCCCCTATATAAAAACAGGAATCCTAAACAGTGCTCACTGCAGAGAATGGTGTACGAGTTAAATGAAATAATCAAAATGAAGAACTTGACATATGGTCTGTGCTCAACAAATGTAGCCCCCACCAACCATGTCACTATCCTCTCACCTAGAAGCATCATCTTATCCAACAAGCTCAGCTCAACTCACTACCTGCATGCACATGACTTTGTTCCTAGGTCTCAAATTTGAGTTTCTTCTTGGTGGCTTCTCATTCCCATATGACCGTATTTATTTGAATCTATTATTTATTTTTGCACCCAACAGGGACACAATTCATTGGTAAGCAATTATGATTAAGAATGAAATAATAACAGTGTTTTTCTTTCAGTGTGGACTAATTTTTAAATGGCAAGCAAATTAGAAGGACATACTTATCCAGCTGTTTGAACCTGATTATGTCATAAACAAAATTGTAGGTGACTTGTTTGATCGATATGTGCCTTAAAAGATTACTGAGATACAAAGAACTGTGTGAACTGACAGTTCTGGAACCACTAGCATAGAAAACTGATGAATGGGGCTGGGGAGATGGCTCAGTAGAATAAGCGCTTGCCTGATAAGCGCAAGGGCCTGAGTTCAATACCTGGTTCTGGAAAAAAAAAAAAAAAGAAAGAAAGAAAACTGATGAAGCTCTGGAAAAAAAAAAGAGAAATAGCAATGCTTATTATTATTATTATTATTATTATAGGGATATGATGTTAGCCTTAAACTACCATAATTAAGAGCTAATGGGAAATTTGAGCACTTGCTACATCCTAGGTTCAGTTCTGAGGACTTTGGAGGGCTTTAAGTGGAAGGATCACACGTATCAAGTCATTTCATCTCCTGTAAGCCCCGAGACAGGGAGTTTATGTCTCCATGTTGCAAAAGAGAAAGCTGGGGACTGGAGAGAGAAGGGGTACGGTGCTTGAAGTCACCGAGGGGTGGGAGTGCATAATGTGGGTTGTCAGACTGGCCCACTGCCCTTGATCTTGAATGTAGTTGCAAGTTTCTGGAATCTTGCCAGTGACCCAAGATTGGCCCGACGCAGCCTTCTCCAAGGACTTGCGGACTGAGCCCGAGTTCCTGCTGATTTTCCATCCCATCAATCAGTTCTAACAGATGGCTTTGTTACAGCAAAGGCTGGGTGTAAAAGAGCAGGCTCACAGGCTCTTGGATTTGAGGTGCTTAGCTGCGTTGCTCCCCACTGCTGTCTTTCTGGAGGCTTATTTGTTCAGTGGTTTTGCAGATTCCCTGAGATCGGTACCTTGCCGATAACTTCTACTTGATCTGGATTTGATGTTTAATTAGAGCCCTGGACATAGATATCATAAATCACACTACTAAAAGAAAGGGGTGGTGGTGGTAATAAATTGAGTATTCATGAGTCTCGCTTATAGACTTCAGCTGGGCCAGCTCCTCTCGGAAACCAGGCAAGTCTGTGCCATCCACACCAGCAAACATGTTGTCCAGAAGGACCACTTTCTCTACTGATGGCGAGGTCAGCCATCTACCCAGCAATTATACTGCTGTCAGATTGTAAATACACATTTGCGAATGCTTCTGTAACTGTTCACAAACAGCTTAGGCCTGCTCATGCAGAGCTAGTTACAGAATGCTAATGGGGACGCTTACCCAACATCTGCTTTCGTGGTCGGAGCCAGATTTGTGCCATTTAAACATTTATGGGTCTGAAGCATCAGACCAGATATTTGCCTCTGCCAACCTCCAGAAAACAGCCTCTGCAGTAATGGTCACTTACCTGGCAGATTGATTGGTTTTGTATTGGCATCGCATGTTCAGCCACAGCAAGGTCTTATTTTAAAAATGGCTTTGGTTTCTACAAATCCCGTAACAGTAAGATGTGAAATTGACATCATGGAGATATAGTTATGTCACCTTCTGTACTGGCCCCTCTGACCTTGTGCAACATGGCTAACATCATAATTAAACAAAGAAATCCCCACTGACTCTATGGAGATACCCACGTAAGTGAGAGATCTGAAGCCGTACGCATGTTTATCTTTTTGACTTTCAGTTTGGGGCTGGGCTTTGCATTAGTTTTACTTCAGTGTAAGCTGCTTTGGCTGATGCTCGCCAAGTGTCCTGTATACATCACAGAACCTGCGTGGTAAGAGTCAGAGTTCATATGACAGATTCTAACTGTCTGCAACACCTTCAGCTTTGGGCAATTTTCATCTAAGCCATTTTCAAGTGTCATGATTTAGGGTAACAACAATATTGCAACAAAGGGACCATAGACTACAGGGCCAAAGAGAGATGACAGAATGATACTCTTCCTTCTTATAACAGACCCCAAGAACAGCCCAGGTTGGCGTCTGTTTTGCTCCATTGAGGATTCAGAGATCCAAGCTCCAGCCATCTTTTTGCTCTGCCATTCCTCCAGGAATTGTCCTTATCCATGTGGCCAGGACCAGATACAGATAAGTGCATGAATAGCTGGTGGAAAGACTAAGAAAGACAGACTCCAAGGATGGTGACTCTCCTCTTAAAATGAAGGTAACCTTCAAGGTCACCTTCACCAGTACCACATTGGCCAAAACTAAATCACAGAGGCCCATTTAACGTCACGGGTCCTACTATCCTAGAGGGTAGGCTTGGATGGATGGCTAGAAGCTTCTATCACGTGGAACAAGAGGCAGATAAGATAAATGTCATGTAGTCACAATATATAACAAGCGTTTATTAAGTGCCTATTATGTACCAGATACTTTTTCTTAAATGTGTAAGAAAAATTTTAACATATTGTGAGTGAAATTAGACAACACTATTAATACATTTTTCTCCCTTTGCTCTTCCTTCAAATGATAGAAGGCAACTGGAAGGGAAAAAAAGGCAAGGTTTGTATTGTCAGATCACAGGAAAAATATTCGCACTTGTCAAATCCAAATAGCAGCAATGAATGTTGTTCGGTGCATAGCCACACACAGAATCCTCCTGGATGGATTCCAGCTTTTATTCTCTTAAATCATAACTTGCTTGTAGCATGATAAAGAAGCAGTTGTTTCTCACAAGATGATATTAGATCATTGAGATTAAATTCAACCTCAAAGGTGGGTTTCTGCTCCAAAATAATCAAGGCAACCATTATAGCGAATTTTGCAGTCATTCCCCTGATGAAATAAGTCACACCATCTTCAGGGCACGTGTACTCGAAGCAGTGCACAAGGAAGGAGTGGCCAGACTGAGAGAAGCGGCGAGAGTAGTAGACACGTGGAGATAGGAAATAGTCCAGGGGCACAAGGAACACATCCTTAACTTCATCAGGATTTGGCTGGGCCTCAAAGTTGTGGTCTACAAAACCCACCACAGGCGTGACCAAATTCTTTTTCTAAAAAGCAGAAAATAAAACACACGAATTAAGAAGCATGGTGAAATTGTTTCAAGTGTTAAAATCTTGCCAGTTCTCTGTAAAATACGATGGTAAACTACACTGGTCCATCACAGAAGGTGGGGAGTGAAGGGGGAAAGGTGTGCTTCCAAAGCAATCTCATATTTCCCCCATGTAGGGCCTACGTGAGCTGGTGTGCAGGAGATGACTGAGAATAAGAATCAGGTGTGAGTATGAACTGGCATGACCATCGGGATTAGCTGTGTGGTAACATTGTAAAAATATAATCCTTTTGAGCTAGGAATCGCATTTTTATGAGTGCATTTGTATCATAAATTCTTCCCAACAGGAAAAGCTACTCGTATAGGGTGGAAACATTATTTGCAGCTAAACTTGTCACTGGCCGACTGGTGGGTAACTCAGGCTAGACAAATTAAGGTTATAATCATATACTGGGATGCCACAGAACATTTAAAAGATGCAGTAGAGACCTTTGCCTCTTGGTAAAGACAGATGTGCTTCTTACAAACAGAAAGGTGACACTAGTTAAGGCATATTTCACCTTATATCCATATAATTTCATGTAAACTATTTTTCATAAAATATACATTTAAAGGGGAATTTCCACTTACAATCACAAATACTTGCAAATGATTTGAGGTTCTGATAGATAAAAGACCCCCTTTGTTCTACTGGGAATCTCCTGAGAAGGTTGGGCTGAGTCAAAGTCTCTGCTGAGTGACAGTGAGGGAGGCGCAACCTCTGATGAGAAAGTGAGGTGAACTTGGAGTTCCTGGCCTCACTAGAAACAAGGTGGGAAAAGCTAGAGGCAGGTGCTTGTGAGGTGCAGACCTAGAGGAGCTTGATGCAGGCCTACGGGCTGTTTTCTGAGGAAGACAGGCTCTGCTAAGGCGACCGTAAGAACAGAGACAGCACTGAGTGTTAACCGTGTTAATGATAAAGTCAACATGTGGAATGGGAAGGGACAGTGAGAACATACACCAGATGTCCTTAGGGCAGAACTCTGAGGCTACAAGTCACCGGAGGCCCTCAGGCCAGGCCTGGGACAGGGTAAGCAGCCTCTGAGGTCACGAAGTCCTCCCAGGTGGGTCAAGTGGGCCACAGTTGGCCTGGAAGGGTTCATATGGGAGGTGGGGAAAGAGCTAACAGCACCTCCCCCAGCTGTGACACCCAAAACATCTCTAGATAGCATCAAATGTGTTCCCTGAAGAGTAAACTGAGTCTAGGTTAAGAACCACTGAACTATATTATGTGTGTTAGTGATCAATGAATGGTGTTTTTCATAATACATTGTAAAAATTAGCAAAGGCCAAAACCCAAAACAATCTTCCCTTGCACTTTTAAGGGCTATATGCCTTCCTTAGAAACTCTGTTCATTCTGATTTGGCGATAATGTCACTGCAGAAATCTCCTGACCCGGGAATATGTGGCCCACAGAAATTTCCTGATGATTCAACCTCATCTTGTGCTGTAGTCTGGATCTGAAAAGCCCTCTAAGGGACTTACAAATTTTGTATTACTGGGAGATGTTGGAACCTTTAAGAAGTGGGGTCTCGTGGGAGGAAGTCAGGTCATTGGGAGAGTTCTGGAGGGGACTGTGGGAGTCCAGTCTCACTCACTCTTCCTGTCTCTGGTTCCCTATTCGCACAGTGTAAGGACCCTACTCCATGGCACACTCCCTCCAGGATGTGCTGCCTCCTACAGGCCCAGAAGCACATGGCCGATGGGCCGTGGACTGAACCTCCTAGAACTGAGAGCCACAATAAATCTTTTTTCATCCTGAGGCTTTTGTTTCAGTTAGAGCAAGCTAACATAGACTCTGAAGATTGCTCTGTTCCACTCACTTACACTGAGGACTCAGCTGCTCCTGGGAACCTTGGGAATGAAAGTTGCCACAATTTGGGAACTTTTAACCATAAAGTTCCAAAGTAGATTCCCGGAATGTGCTGAGGGATTTCCAAAACTCAACTGAAAGCAGCTACCATTAGGCTACACAATGGGAAAGGAAGTACTTGACACAATTTTTTCTAATCCTGTTTCTCCTTTCTCCTCTCTCTCTCTCTCTCTCTCTCTCTCTCTCTCTCTCTCTCTCTCTC